TAGAAATTCAATTTTAAACACACATCAGGGATATATGAAGTAAAGCCCATGTGCTGTAAACCAAATGGTACTCAAGGGAAGATTGGGTCAGTTTAATTCAAACCATCTTCACTTCATAAGACAAGACAACTCAAAGCGTTCATGGACATCGCAATAATTATCTTCAGGTGCACACGGGACAGACACATACACAAATTTTCAAACAGGACAATGATGTCATGAAAAGCCTTTAAAAAAGGTGCTAATTTCCTGTAACAGTTCAGGGGCAACCATTTTTTTCTAACAATCAACAGTATAGGCTTTGTCACAAATATCCAGAAAAGGGGGTGGGGTGTCTTTGTGACGAAGTAGTCAAGACGTCTGCCTCACACTATGAAAGGTGTGGGTTCATTTCATGACTGCACATTTCAGTTCATGAGTGCAATTTTTACAGAGATCCCCGGGGGGCCAGAGCTACAGGGTTTATGCTTTGTGCAACGTTCTGACAGGCGGCTAGCCATTCTGCAGAGAAAGGGCGATTCAAATGGGACAAAATCCAGTGCAAGGAAGTCAAGTCTCTTGACTTGAACCTTTAACAAATGCACACAAAACACATATGCATTTGTTTCAATACACCCTTCATGTAATCATTATAGAAAAACTTAAGCCTGACAGGTAGAACCTTAACAGCTGAACTCGAAAAGATACAAGCAATAGAAATGCGAACTTTTAAAAAAATTCTTGGTATATTATACAGAGACCACGTCACAAATGCCAAAGTTGGCCATAAAATTACCCAACATGGGCAACTATGAACTGCAGGGAAAAGGCAGAAAATGTAGTATGGACAATTAATGAGATCTAATAATGCCTTTCAAAAATAGTACTACAGGGCTCAGCAGACGAGAAGAGGCGTACCAAGAAAGACTTGATACAGAACTTGACAGACCTTATGTATGCAACCATGAAGTCCATCACATCTGACCACCAAAAATAGAGGGAGCTGATCAAACAGTCAACAGCAACTGTTGATCAAATGACACACAGTGGTACAGGATTATGACAGGGAGGAGGGGGAGAGAACAAACATATCACACATTACAAAAGGTACTGCTGAAACAGTCTCTTCTGCACCACCATACTCCCATAATACAGCATGTTGCTGGGTCACCAGCTGCGACTGACTAATCAGTTCCCTCCACTTGTTAGATGCAATGTGTGTACTACCAGTCAGCCAAAAAGTCTTTCTCGGTCTGCCTCTTCACCTCTTATGAGCCCTGTATGGCAGGCACATACTCGCAATGTACTTTTAACACATACACACACTTAAAATTTAATTTACTGGTTGGATATTGTGCAGTGAAATGCTGCAGCTGCTGCCCTTTGTCAGGGTACATTAGCCCTATTATGATAATGCTTGAGTGGTAAAATAGCCAATGTGAATGTCACTGAATGTAGCCTGTTTCTCCTAAAATAAGACCAGGTCTTTTATTAATTTTTGTTTCTAACAATGCACTGGTGCTTATTTTCAGAGAATGTCTTTTTTTTTCATGCACATAATTCTGTATTTTTTCAAATACAGTCTGAGTCATGTCATCTTCTTCTGTAACTCTCCAAATTCTTAAACCCGGCCTGGATTTCTTGAGATTACATTTCCCGTAGAACAGACAGTGATTCTCAACCTTTCTAATGCCGCAACTGTTTAATACAGTTCCTCATGCTGTGGTGACCCACAACCATAAAATATTTCCACTGCCACTTCATAACTTCAGCAAATATGTTTTCTGGTGGTCTTAGGTGACCCCAGAGAAAGGGTCATTCGACCTCCAAAGGGGGTCACGACCAAAAGATTGAGAACCGCTGCTGTAGAAATATCAGCCCATTTCTCATTCTAGCTGCTGATCTACACTTTGGCTTATTACTGGGGGTAGGGTTTTATTAAATGCATCCTGAACAATCATGTTAGGGCTGCGGGGGGAGGGGTGCAGGTATTATTCTGGGGGAAACACTACTAAACACATAAATATGATTCTTGTATGACAGACCTACTTCTGGGCTTAGCACCCGTAGACACAACACAGGCAACTAGTTAGTTACAGAGAACAAGGGCATGACCAGGTAAAATAGATGGTGTGTCAATTAAATGATATGAGAATCTTTTTAAAAAAGCTTATGAAATTCTACAAGGTATAAGATCAAGTTACAAGGCAAAGAGTGTCTTCACATGTACGAGTAAACAAAAAGATCCTTTTTCACACCTTCAGACACAAGAGGCATGTAGGGCTAGCCCTATATTTGATAGACCAACTGGCACTCGGTAGGTGATGTGGTCAACATTAAGCGGGCCACCTTTACTCTCCAGGACTTTACCTGGTACCCATTTAAGACTGGGTCAAACTTTGGAGCCAAGGTAATTTTTCCTTTAATTTCAGCTCTGTTCGGATTTGATTTTGAGATTTTCGGATTCGCAGGTGGGCATCTAGCAGCTCCCTCACATGTACTAGGTCACAGCATAATCAGCACTGGTGACTAGCTACCTTCCTCTTTCCCTTCATTCCTTAGCCCAAAAGAATTCTGAAACATAGTCAACAGATCACCCTCACTGTGCAATTAACAACTCAGTCCATAAGTGTTCAGACCTCCTCCTCAGTATATCCTGCAGCATCCACATAGTGCACTGAACCATTTAGTCCATAAGTGTTCAGACCTCTTCCTCACTATATCCCTTAGCATCCTCACAGAGTGCTGAACCACCCAGTCCTGAAGCACTTGGATCTTCTCCTCAATATCTCCCTCAGCACCCACACAGTGACCTGAACCATTTAGTCCAAAAGTACTTGGATTTCCTCAGTGGATTCCTCAGCATTAACATGGCACAATGAACCACTCAGTTCATAAGTGCTTGAAACCTTCTGCTTAGTATATTCCTCACCACATAACAGCTGACAACATTAGCCTGACAAATCGGTGAAATGTGAGGGGGTGGTCAATGCCAGACCCATACGGGTCAGGTTAAACCATATCAGAGTTGGGGATTTAATTTGAACCACTGTATCAGTAAGTGAGTAAGCTAACCACTATTCCATCATAGCTACAACATTCAATTATATTTACATTCTACCATATTACATCATGATCATTTCATAATTACAATCATGCAAATTGCATTCACCTTTCAACAAAACACATAGTGGAACAGTTTTATTTGGTTCTGACTAGCATCCTTTTTATTTTATTTTTATTAACTTAGGCGCTGACTCCATAATGTTAGTGCATTGACTTCATAATGATAGTGTGCTGACTCCATGTTAGTGCATTGACTTCATAATGATAGTGTGCTGACTCCATAATGTTAGTGCATTGACTTCATAAAGTTAGCTAGCTAACGGATTATCCTCTTTGCACATCAAACCATTCAGTCCACAAGCGCTCCTCAGTAAATGCTGCAGAGTGTAGCGACACCAGTTCTGTGTTGGTTTCTAATTTTTCTTTGGCTTCCTGCAAAGTGTTTTTGTCAAGCAACACTCCTTTCAACTTGTTCTTGCAGTCTGGTCGTGGCCGCATATTCAGTCACTTGGGATATTTTCTCTAGGTCATGCCGGTGTGTTGGGACATGAGCACTCATTAGACTCGGTTCTGCACCACTTGTAGATGAACTAACGTATGACAAGCTAGATGTCGTAAGGGCCCTTTGGGAGGGAGTGAACAGTGCGGAGGCACAAACAGATCATTAGTGTGAGGAGAATGACACTGCGAGGAGTAACCAGAGGATCTGGCCAACACTCAACGGAAAGGCGAGACTGATATACAGTCAGACAGTACCATCAGAATTGGAACTCTCTGCCTGCTGCTGAAGATGGGGGAAACGGAGCAATTATGGGAGTGTCCCAAGCCTATGATGTCGATTGTTAACTCAATATTCAGTGACTTGGTTATCACAAACATCTTACTTCTTGTAAAGAACTCAGTATATCGGCCTGGCCCACAGCTCACCCACCCTTCCCAGTAGCCTTACAATGAAAGTTAGCTACAGTGTACCACTGCTGTTGTTGTCTTTGGGGACATTACATGGTCAGGCCCCAATTTCTTCCACTGTGTGACGCTAAGACCACAGACTGAAAACCGTGACAACTGTTTTATTAAAAATTAACTGTCTTGTTATGGGAATCCAACTCTAACACTCCAGGGTCATGACACAAGACAAATCTCTTAACCTGTAAACCAGTGGTTCTCAACCTTCCTTTAATACAGTTCCTCATGTTGTGGTGACCCCCGAACCATAAAATTATTTTCGCTGCTACTTCACAACTTCAGTGAATATGTGCTTTCCAATGGTCTTAGCTGACCCCTGCGAAAGGGGTTGTTCGACCCCCAGTTTGAGAACCACTGCTCTAAACCACAATCACAACCTGTTTATTATACTAAAGTGATCTGGAATTACTGGAACAACACATATCAGACTTCATTCAGTTTGCCAATTAATTTATAAACAACAAAAGGACCTTTTCCTTCAATTTTCATAAAATTGTAGACCATCACAGTTGAGACCAATTCGCACTCAGTGGGTGATGTGGTCAAAATCATGGCAACCGCCTGTACCTCCCAGGACTTTACCTGCTACCCATTTAAGGCTAGATTAACCTGAAAACCAAAAGCCTTTTTTCCCCCCCTAAAAAGAAGCCTGGCTCTGTTCAGATTTGAACCCATAATCTTTTGATCTGCAGGCGAGCATGCAGCCACTACACCACAGCAGCTCCCAAACACTAACTAATTAATAATAATATAACCCTAGATGAGCACCTCCACACAAACACTGACAGCAATGATGATTCCACTCCAGTTACAGAGGGGGGAAAACACACTGTTAACATGTTCTTAACTGCCAACAATAAAATATAAAACAAACTGGTTTACACCCACAGCACAGATGGTTTCCCCCCAAAGCTCTTCCAAGAATTACAACTTGCCAGTGCTGATTTTCTGAACTGCCACTGTGAAATGCACTAAGTCAGAAGCCATTATCAAGAAAACTTTTTGCAGTGTGAAACGATCTCATGGCGCAGGTTTTCCAGTCTTGCATATGTCCGCTGGACCACCTCCGGTCTGATCAGGCCAAAGTCAAACAGGTTGACGAGGTGCAGTAAAAAATTCCTGCGTAGATTTTTCTGGATGATTTTTTCGCCGTGCTCGTCTACAAAGGTCATGCAAGCGTGTGGGACCATGCAGTCTCCTATATACCTGGAAATGATAAGGAAATGGTTTACAATCTCGAAGTGGCATCATTTACAGAAAATTACAGGCATATTATTAAATATATGCTTCAGACAAGTGAAATTTTTCTTTTTTTTTCTCTCTCTCTCTCTTTCATTTAAGTGACATAATTATGTTGTGCCTGTTTACAGTAAAGCAGTTAAACTTGTGCCTTTCGGCGGACACACCTGATTTCATCAAGCACTTGTTGATGGGGGTACCTTTTCTGGATAGTTTCATGGGAGATGACATAGCCTCTTTTTCTTTATCTACAGGTATTGCCCCTGAAGAACCAATCCAAGACAATGCTTGCAGACTCAACAGCGCTCAAGGAAAGGCAGAGGCAGATCATGGGCACTCCTCGCAGTCCAAGGAGGCTTCTATAAATGCAGTGCCGACACATGACACTCTAGTCCTATGCTCACCCAAGAAATCATCACGTCCTCCACATGACTGCTTAACCTCACATTCGTATGTTGAGCTTCCCACTTGGCAGGGGCTGCACCCTTTGGAGACCAACATGGAGCAATCCACAGGTCTAGGACTTTGATGACCACACAAATGGGTACATTCTTCTTCAGCATGTTAGATACCTTTAACACTGTTTTATCTGGACACAATATAACAGCATGGAAAAGCATGCATCAGGCATGGCTTCATCTATTTGAACCCATCACTCTGATAAGTGAGGCCAATGGTAACAGACATCTAAACTTCTCTGCCAAACAGTAGGACTTTTAAAGGTAAGATATTTAACTCTTTGAGGCTTGAGCGATGCTATGTGTGTTGACTGAGAAGTTCTGTTTTGCCCAAACAATGCTGGCAGGGTCAATTGTGTGTCCCGTACATATTGCTTCGCACATGGCTCAGTACTTGTTTCTAATGTTCGGAACTATGATTAAAGTATTCAGGGAAAGTCACTCTAACGATTTCCTTTTAACAACATTCTGTATCCCAAGCCACATGTGTATTGATCGGATTCATAGCTAAATTTTTTCAACAGTGCATTTTCTAAGTTCATTTTCGAGTGCCATGAATACCAATGTTCCAACCACAAGTACAGGTCGCAGAAAGCGCCTTTTTGCGACCAAAGCTCTGAAATTGTTTCAGTCAGATGTTTTTAATTCTGATAATGAAAATTTAGATTTTTCGGAAAAGAATTCGGAAAAGAATTTTCAACAGGAAAGCTGAGCGATCAGCTGTTGGGAATCTAGCGATTCTGATGTTTACACAATGTCCCATTGCTACCGTATTTATGGTGTAAGAGAAGGAAAAGGCTCTAAACAAAAAGAGAGTACTATACTATACTATGGCTAAGCTTCATTGAAATCATTGCAGCAACAGTTTGTATATAACTGTTAGGGCTGTACCGAATAGTGATTTTCACTATTCTGCCGAAAAAGAATAGCTGGACCAACTATTCGGCCGAATACGAATAGTGTATCATCATCATCAGGTGCCTTGCCAACTGACATGGGCGCTTATACCTCGCCACAATCTGCGATCTCCTGCAGCATGTATTAGTTCGTGCGCTGACACACCTCCATGCCATGCAACAAGACTGTCAAGAAACTTCTCTCGTTGTCTTCCTCTATCCCTCCTTCCACAAATCTTTCCTGTGGTCACCACATGTTCCATTTTCCCACTTATCATAACATGGCCGAAAAATGATGACTGTCTCCTTCTGATGTCTGTGATTAGTTGTCTTCGGGCTCCCGCCTCTTTCAAAACTTCTTGGTTGCTTTTGTGTGTGGCTGTCCAAGGTATTTTAAGCATTGTTCTGTAAAACCAGATCTCTGAGGCCTCATGAATTGTGGGTGAGGCTGTTTTCCGAGACCCCCTGCAAGCTGAGCTTATGCTCATATGAACCATTATCCGCGACGCACCACAGGGACATGCGGCAGGAGTGTTGCATGAGGATCCCTAAAACAAGCTCAGAGCAAGCTGGTGCCTGAGATGGGGTACAAAGTAACTCCTTATACACATCACAAGGGCCTTTACTTTCTCTCAGAGTGATGTGGTGACCAAAATCACTACGCGACACACTGGAATTTTACAAAATCATTTAGTTTTAAATAATGACTGCCAATGTATGAAACACTGAATTTTCCACTAAATCTTTCTGTCTTTACAAAACAGTAAATTATCCACTGAATCTTTCTGTCTTTACGAAACACTGAGTCTTTCTGTCTTTACGAAACACTGAATTATCCAGTAAAACCAACACCAGCATTTTTTTTTGGCTGTTGTGATTTTTCTAGGCAAATTTACGTCCAGTAATTTGGCTTTTCATATGCTGGTTTGAAAAAATGTCACATCAAACTATCCAAACTCTGAAAATCTGCTCCCAATTGGTTAATACTGATTGTATGGACAACTAAAAACAATTTTTGTTTTAATGTATGAAGAAACCAGTCCCATGCCACAACTGCTTAGCCACCTATTACAAAATGATTGGCAGGGCTTATGGTGTACTGAAGCACAGACCCAAATATTTAAAAATGTGTAGATTTTACTGTTACTGTATTAATAAAATAATAAAAAACAGTCGCTTTCTGACAATTCTCTATGCAGTGAGGAAAGCTCATTTCTTCCTAACTTAAGTAAAAGACCCTTTCCACACCATAAGGCATAATATTCTAGACTCAGACTTTATACACCAACTGGCACTCAGAGGGTGATGTGGTCAAATCATGCCAGCTGCTTTTACTTCCCATGACACAGCCCGGTACTCATTTCTGGCTGGGTTGACCTGACCGCCATGACACAGCCTGGTACTCATTTCTAGATGGGTTGACCTGACCGCCATGACACAGCCTGGTACTCATTTCTAGATGGGTTGACCTGACCGCCATGACACAGCCTGGTACTCGTTTCTGGCTGGGTTGACCTGACCGCCATGACACAGCCTGGTACCCATTTATGGCTGGGTTGACCTGGTTGCCATGACAGTCTGGTACTCATTTCTGGCTGGGTTGACCTGGCCGCCATGACACAGCCTGGTACCCATTTATGGCTGGGTTGACCTGGTTGCCATGACAGTCTGGTACTCATTTCTGGCTGGGTTGACCTGACCGCCATGACACAGCCTGGTACCCATTTATGGCTGGGTTGACCTGGTTGCCATGACACAGTCTGGTACTCATTTCTAGATGGATTGACCTGGCCGCCATGACACAGTCTGGTACTCATTTCTAGATGGATGGACCTGGCCGCCATGACACAGTCTGGTACTCATTTCTAGATGGATTGACCTGGCCGCCATGACACAGCCTGGTACCCATTTCTAGATGGATGGACCTGGCCGCCATGACACAGTCTGGTACCCATTTCTAGATGGGTGGACCTGGCCGCCATGACACAGTCTGGTACTCATTTCTAGATGGATGGACCTGGCCGCCATGACACAGCCTGGTACCCATTTCTAGATGGATGGACCTGGCCGCCATGACACAGCCTGGTACCCATTTCTAGATGGATGGACCTGGCCGCCATGACACAGTCTGGTACCCATTTCTAGATGGATTGACCTGGCCGCCATGACACAGTCTGGTACCCATTTCTAGATGGATTGACCTGGCCGCCATGACACAGTCTGGTACCCATTTCTAGATGGATGGACCTGGCCGCCATGACACAGTCTGGTACCCATTTCTAGATGGATTGACCTGGCCGCCATGACACAGTCTGGTACCCATTTCTAGATGGGTGGACCTGGCCGCCATGACACAGTCTGGTACCCATTTCTAGATGGGTTGACCTGGTCGCCATGACACAGCCTGGTACCCATTTCTAGATGGGTGGACCTGGCCGCCATGACACAGCCTGGTACCCATTTCTAGATGGATGGACCTGGCCGCCATGACACAGCCTGGTACCCATTTCTAGATGGATGGACCTGGCCGCCATGACACAGCCTGGTACCCATTTCTAGATGGGTTGACCTGGTCGCCATGACACAGCCTGGTACCCATTTCTAGATGGGTTGACCTGGTCGCCATGACACAGCCTGGTACCCATTTCTAGATGGATTGACCTGGCCGCCATGACACAGCCTGGTACCCATTTCTAGATGGGTTGACCTGGTCGCCATGACACAGCCTGGTACCCATTTCTAGATGGGTTGACCTGGTCGCCATGACACAGCCTGGTACCCATTTCTAGATGGATGGACCTGGTCGCCATGACACAGCCTGGTACCCATTTCTAGATGGGTTGACCAGGTCGCCATGACACAGCCTGGTACCCATTTCTAGATGGATTGACCTGGTCGCCATGACACAGCCTGGTACCCATTTCTAGATGGGTTGACCTGGCCGCCATGACACAGCCTGGTACCCATTTCTAGATGGGGGACCTGGTCGCCATGACACAGCCTGGTACCCATTTCTAGATGGATTGACCTGGCCGCCATGACACAGTCTGGTACCCATTTCTAGATGGGTTGACCTGGCCGCCATGACACAGCCTGGTACCCATTTCTAGATGGATGGACCTGGTCGCCATGACACAGTCTGGTACCCATTTCTAGATGGGTTGACCTGGTCGCCATGACACAGCCTGGTACCCATTTCTAGATGGATGGACCTGGTCGCCATGACACAGTCTGGTACCCATTTCTAGATGGGTTGACCTGGCCGCCATGACACAGCCTGGTACCCATTTCTAGATGGGTGGACCTGGCCGCCATGACACAGCCTGGTACCCATTTCTAGATGGATGGACCTGGCCGCCATGACACAGCCTGGTACCCATTTCTAGATGGATGGACCTGGCCGCCATGACACAGCCTGGTACCCATTTCTAGATGGGTGGACCTGGCCGCCATGACACAGCCTGGTACCCATTTCTAGATGGATGGACCTGGCCGCCATGACACAGCCTGGTACCCATTTCTGGCTGGGTTGACCTGGTTGCCATGACACAGCCTGGTACCCATTTCTGGCTGGGTTGACCTGGTTGCCATGACACAGCCTGGTACCCATTTCTGGCTGGGTTGACCTGGCCGCCATGACACAGCCTGGTACCCATTTCTGGCTGGGTTGACCTGGTTGCCATGACACAGCCTGGTACCCATTTCTGGCTGGGTTGACCTGGCCGCCATGACACAGCCTGGTACCCATTTCTAGATGGGGGACCTGGCCGCCAAAGACATTACTTTTTTTTAAATACTCACTCTTTGTCCATCACATGCAGATTCCACATCTTCATTAGCGCCTTTTCTCCTTCATTCACATCTGTGAACTCATCAATCATCTGAAAACAGACCAATCAATACCTGTTTAGAACTTTCAAAAGAGAATCCATAATGAAAAAAACACCCCATGGACTATCTCTGCTATTTAGAGGTAGAGGTAACTAAAGTGAATCTTATCAGAACTATTTTTTGGCCAACACTGTGCTATCAGTGCCAAATGAATGTAAAATTGTGATAACAGAGATGAAATGCCTTAGAAGAGCTGCAGGGGTTTCAAGGAAAGACAGAATACGAAATCAGACAAATGCTAGGAACAAAGCCAGTCTTACAGGTCATCAAAGAACAAATGAAGTGGTTTGGACACCTAACAAGAATGCCCTGATATCTGCCACTGCAAGCCACACTAAAACGTTACAAAGGGCGAGTGGAAGACCTCGGAAAATATGGAGCGATGGCATCAAGAACAGCCTTACAGAAATGAACATCAGTCTTAATAGCGCTCTTGACAGAGTTCACCAACAAATTTTACATCTCCTCCCGACATTTTGATGAGATACAAGGTGATAAAAAAGAAGAAGAAGAAGAAGATAGTAACTAAAGTGCACTCAAAAGGATTCAGTCTGTGAGATAATAAGAAAAGGCACATTTACTTAAACATATTCCTAACAGACCCCTCAGTAAACTCACTTAACAATAACATTATTTTTTGATTTCTCACTACTACGACCCTTGATTTCTCACTACTACGACCCTTGATTTCTCACTACTACGACCCTTGATTTCTCACTACTACGACCCTTGATTTCTCACTACTACGACCCTTGATTTCTCACTACTACGACCCTTGATTTCTCAATACTACGACCCTTGATTTCTCACTACTACAACCCATCTACATTACAACTTAGGAGCCTCAGCTTCATATTACACTCTACAGTGGGGACCCAGTTAGCACATAGCACTGGCTGAGGGCTTTATACTCCCTTGGGACATGAAGTGGAAGCCTTCGCTAACTAAAAATTGACCAACCCCATCAGTGCTGCCAAAGCAACTGGTAGCTAATATTACAGGTTACATACCATGATTGTCTTCTGTTTCAGCCACGTTGGTTTACTTTCTTCTTTTCCTTCAGAGTCCAGCTCTTGAGGCTGAACCGGCTGGCAGGTCACAGTATGAAAATATAGTCTGTAAAACAGTTTTGAAAAAATATCATGAAATATTCAAGCAAGTAGTAAATAGTTAAGGATCCTTTTCCATGCCTTTAGTTCCAACAACTTTTACCTGGTACCCCAAGGCTAGATCGACCTGGGAGCAAAAATCATTTGAAAAAAAATGTGACTCCCGGGACCTGAACCCATGACCTTTATATCTGCAGGCAAGCATCAAGCCGCTACGCCACTGCAGCTCCCACAAGCAAGAAGGCGAATGCTGGCCTCCCAGTTTAAGGATACAATTATTCTTTTTCATCGTGTTCACCAGCTGTTAACTCTGGCAAAAAGTTATGGTTTTTTGTCCACTTTTGGACTCGGTCTTGTTCTGAAGCTTCAGTTTCGTGTTTAATCAAGTGAACTGTGACTTAAAAACTTAGTGACATGGGGTAGCAGAAAAATATGCACAAAACAACACAAATCGACATTTTGGCCAGGAGCCTTTTTCCTCTGTTACCTTTGTGTAGTTCGGTTCAAGTCTAGAAAGGCCCCCGGCCGAAACATTGATTTGTGTTGTTTTGTACATGTTTTTCTGCTTTCCCATTTCGTTGAGCTTTTAAGTCACAGTTCATATAACTGATTTCTTGGTATTAGCTTGACTGCAGTCACAGCTATTTTCACCATTTTGGAGTTTTGTACGCACACCTGCTTTACAGATCTGGGCTATGCAAACTTTTGCATCCTTGCCTTTCAAGTAAATACACTCTAACTTCAAAGACACCCCCCCCCCCCCAAAGTTGTCTTTATGGGGCTTCTTGGGGGCAGTGGGCCTATTCCTTCTACCACCTGACAAGGAGCTCTGGAAGGCACACAGGAAAGATAACAACAGTAAAACAAAGATTATAATTTAATTTTTCTTCCATGGCTTACTTCTTTACCAGTTCGAAAGCCACAAGAATGGTCTTCCTCTAAACCTTCTGCAACATAAAACAAACCCTGGTGCACACTGGCCTCTAAGCCATGGAGCCTCACAGGGTGAAGATGCATAAAGAAAATCATTATTATTGAATGAATTCAGATAAACTATTTTAAGAACTTTCTCCAACAGATTCAATTAAAAAGCACTTATAAAACTAAACTAACCAACCTGTTGTGACCTTGGATCAGCTGTCTGTTAAGTCCACTTTCTGATTCTGGTTCTTGGAATTCTGTTAAAGATGGGGGTGATCGTTTCGGTCTGAAAAGGTATAAGTCACAAGTTTGAATAAAACAAAGAAGCAGGTTACTAGTTTCGTTCTAGAAGGCAATTGTCATGTAAAATTAAGGTGTAGGGCGTTATTGTTTCAGTCCATAGATGGACAAACTCAAGAGAGATGAAGATGACAAAGGGGGTAATCATTTCAGTCCTTCAGAGGTGAAAGTCACAAGTTAAAGATAATGAGGGTGATCATTTTAATTTGTAGAAGGAAAAATTAATGTGAGGAAGATAACTGACGTGAACATTTTGGTCTGTCAGAGATATAAATCACATGTTAGGTGAAGACAAAGAAGGGATGATTTGTTAAGTTTGTAGATGGAAAAAGTCATGTGACGAAGAAAGGGAATGTGATCACTTTTGTCTGACAGAGTTAAAAATCACATATTAGGTGAAGACTAAAAAGGGTGATTCATTCAGTCTAAAAAAAAAAAAAAGGTAAAGTCATGAGATGTGAACCAGCGTCATTGCACATGGTTATAAACTATAAGTGATCTGACACCAGTACGGACAGCTGATAATAAATTGTCATCCGTGTAGCCATTCACAATAAACTTTGTAGCTACAGCAACATTCCTCCATTTACCCCAGAGTGTTAACTCTGGTACTCATTTCCTAGAAGCTAGGTGAACCCTGGGAACTGTCCAGTTTGAAACACCGGCTGTAGGAAGTCGCAGCTGGATTTGAAAGTGAGTCTCCTATTGACTGTGCTAATGCGGTCCCTAAGATGATAAGTCATGTGGAGAAGATAAAGGACGTGATCACTTTGGTCTGTCAGATATAAACATCATATATTAGGGGAAGACAAGAGGGGGGAATCATTCAATCTGTAGACGGTAAAAGTCACATGTTAAATCTAGACTGTCAAAAGCCGTAGTTATTAAATCGTGCCGCTGATGCAACTTGATTTCTACATAAACATCTCTCTCATGCTCCGTTCATTTGTGTCACAGTCACATTTCCCTAGATTTAAAAAAAACACAAGAGGGCCGTCCACAGGAACTGGTGAAGCAGTATTTCCTCATTTAAAAGCCATCATACTTAGTTCCAACATAAGACACTATCAGAAAAGTAACTGTACCTCTTCTATGTAAGTCAAACTTTGGATATCCAATTGTATTTGTGTGACTATGCTTAAATAGTGGCACCTAATAATGACGAGTCGGCATCTGTGGCTTAGGCGTTCAGACGCGCTTCGTAATGCCGGGGTGCCTGGTTCAATCCCTGCTGCGGGCCTTGTGCCTTGCATTGGTTTCAACAGTGGTATCGAGAAGCTGACTGTCCAGAAAGCAATGGCAAACTACTGGACATAAACTTGCTTAGAAAAACCACAACAGCTAAAAAATGTTGGGTTGGTTCTGCAACATCCTGTTAAGGATACGCAACTAACTTAATAATGACGCAGCAGTTAGTGCATCAACTAAACTATTCCAGCTATATGAAAACAAATATAACCCTCTTACAAAAACCAAACTGGAAAACCTGAAGGAAGGATAACAGGAGGTAGACAGCGATACATTTTTTTTTTTAATCAGAGCGAGAAAGAGTTGACATACTGCAGCCAACCCTCATTCTGAAAGATCCACTTACAGGTGATCACACTCTGACCCTACTTATTCAACTCTTCTTCTTCACTGGCTGTAAACTCTGGCAGAAAGTTATGGTTCTTCGTCTAATTCTGGATTTTAGTCTTGTTCTAAGACCCGCGTTTTACGTGCATTTTACAGATGTGTGTTATTTGTATGCAGACTGTTGGTTGCTTGCCTCCCAGGCAGGTGCATTTTGGAAATTTTGAAGGACCTCCCTCTGCAGTGTTACTATCTTTTAGACTCCTCAAGGGCCACAAAAACCAACAGGTGGTTGGAAACACTTACCTGTAGACAATGACATGGGTGATAGGTGTGCGTCGGACTGGATTGCTACGATTAAAGGCATAGCCAACATGGGAATGGATATCTTGGGGATTTCCTACATACGAGCCATCATAGCGTTCGTTGATTGACACATCTATTTTTGCCCCTTTAGGATGTGGCTGCAAAAACAAAAAAAGGCATATAGATAATATTGTGTTCACAATCGGGCATGTAACACAATATAAATACTCCATAATATATCTACTCCAATAATTTCTTCTTGTGAGTCTGCCCTGACACTATAGTTAGCACAATGCATTGCAGTTTACAGCTAGGCTGTGACATCTACACCTTTAAGTCAAACACATTAGATTTCAGAAAACTCCTATTAGTTTACAGCATGCTTACAGAGGGGAGGGGGGGGGGGGGGGTTAGTGGGTCTGGTTTTATGCAAAACTGGGCCCTGAAAAATCAATTTGGGAGCTGCAGTATTGCAATTATTAGCACAACTGCCTGCCGGTCCAGAGGTCTAAGATACAAATCTCAAACAAAATGGATTAAAATATTCATCAGGACTCCCAACTGGTCCAACCCCAACCTAAACTGGGTACCAGGAAATGACATGGGAAGCAAAGTCGCCTAGAATAGTCATCACATGAGATATGAAGTAGTGATAAGTAAAAACAAAATATGGGGACCAGCTCAATTATGCTTGAAGATGTGGAAATGAGACTTTCTCATCCAGTCTATATATTCTGCCACACGTATTACAGCAAGGGTCTTATATATAGTTAAGCACACTTAGTGAAAATTAAAATGCTTCAGGGTACAGCAGCATACCACAAACTATGCAACAAACTGTAAAGTCAAGGACAACACAAGAATAAATTAAACACTACAAATAGTGGCAATATAGATATGCAGTCCCACTTCATGTAAACAAAAAATGATTTCACCATCAACCTTAGACTTCCTGGAGTTCTGTTGCTAGTATGTACAGTATAACAAGAAACACTGTGATCTTCCATATGAGTTACAAGGCTGCATGTTTTGGGCTTCATTATATCTCGATGTAACCTCTGTATTAATGCACCTGATAAGATATGGCAGACATGCAATAAACTGTCCCATGCATTGCTTATGTTGCTGCCTGTGGCTTAGATGCTGCAGGCAACTTGGCAGATCACACCTTGCACTGGTTTCAACAGTGGTATCAACAGCTTCTTCTTCTTCTGCCTTTCTAGCCCCCAATGAAGCATAGGCCCTTAACCAACTAACACCAAGTCGTTCTATCCTTTGCTATCGCATGCAGCTCTCCCCATCTTTCTAAATTCATTCTCCAGCTCCCTTCTCCATGTGTTTTTTTGGCCTTCCTTTATTCCTATGCCCCTGTGTGTTCCAATACAAAGACATTCTAGTTATATTGTTCTCCGGTTTTCTCAGTGTGTGTCCACAGCCAGCTCCATATATTTTGTGTGTACTTATTGAAAAAGTAAATGATATACTCACAATATACAAGAAGTTAAATCGGGAATGGCAGAGACGGAGGTGTTTGAGCAAACTGTACAACTGCTGACATGAAAGGCTACACCAGGGACACCGTAGATCATCTCGGGCCTCAGTCTCCTGCTGCGTGCAGTCATTGTGTGTGAACTGGTAGAACACCCGCAGGCGTTTGCGTGGGGTCTGCTGGGTGGTGTTCTCTCTCTCCCTGGGCTTGGCACATGTGTATTCGGACTTCACCCCTAAAAAGTAAATTGTTAACCGTCATCTCACTGGAAATATAATTGTTCCAAAAAAGGGGAACTATTAACTCTTTGAGTACTGAGCACCTCACCCTGTGTTTAATACTTAACGTTGTCGCCCTAAAAAGCCGCAAATGGTTTGGTCCAAACCCCCATAAATTTCAAAGTTCACGCCTGCACAAAAGTTTAGGAGATCTGGATGTGAACATATTAGTTTAAAAAAAAAAAAAAGCATTTAAGGGCTTTCTTGTTAACCTAAAAGCCTTTTCTTGTAAGGTCAGGTTAATGTCAAATTTTCTTGTTAACCTCAATGATGGAGGTCATATCATGAGTCACCCAATAAATATTGTTTTTTTTAGGCTACTCTGTTCTTGTTTACTGAAAACTCCCTTTAAATATCTTTAAATATTTTAGAATTTAAAAAAAAAGTTTAAACAAAATGTAAATTAATAAATCTAGTGACCTGTGTGAAACTGGTTCATTTGTGTGTGTGCGTGATTTTTTTTCTACTGGTGTGACATGGTTCCTAATATTGAAATATTCAGCAGTTACACGTCAACAGACCAATAGTGATAAGTGAAAAGTGCAACTCCTCCGCTGACCCTGTGGCTGTGAGTTTAAATAAGAGTGCTCATGAACACCCAGGTTTATAAACTCCTGCACACACTAATAAATTATAACAATGTATCGTCAGATATTGATTTCAGCTTCAAGAAACATGGTGATGTGTTGTTCCATCTTTTAGGTTTTTGGCTTTAGCCCAGCAAAGAGAACTGGCAAGATACTTTAATATAAAGTCGAGTACATGTTTCCTCATTAAAAGAGACGTTTTTGTCTAGTTTTTTTCTCTCCAAATGTTGATTAACATCTCCCATATGGCACCTGCTGCAAACTATCCTGGCATGGAAAGACTAAATGAAGCGTGTAGAGTCTCAACTACTGGTGTCGCCCTCAGGTGGTCAATCTATGGCAATTTTTGTGTGTGCCTCAATTCAGGCGATGCACTGTCTACTGAGAATTTAAATCTTCTTCGTGTTCACAGGCTGCAAACTCCAGTAGACAATTTTTTGCTGTTGGCCACTTCTGGACTTTGGTCTTGTGCCAGAACCTGAGTTCTGCATGCATACTGATATTTCATATCTGTAAGAGGACTGTTGGTTCTTCATCTCTCGGGCAGATGATCTATTTTGAAGGGAACATGTCTAATTACTCGACTTTTATGACTTGATTGTTAGCAGGGCAGTGGATTTATATCCCCCCCCCCCCCCAACAATGCAGCCCCAGAACCCACACCAGGAGAGGGTATAAATGAGTTCTGTAAAGCAACTGACATGATCCTTAACACCTATGGAGTATTATTTGGCCGTAAAGCTATGAAAATATGCTAAAAATGCCATAATGGTATGGAAATCTCCTATAGCACTAGAGGTCAAATAAGCCTCACATTAGCAGAACTGCAGGAAGAAAAGATGTGAGAGGAAAAGCTGGTCACCTCATCATTTTATAATCTAATGTAAATTTCTAATGCATTAATACCTCTTTGTAATAAAACTATTTCAGTTAGACCTTTCTCACAGAAACTAATCGGTGTTAATTTTTTTACCCATATTGGCCAACAGATTCTAAAAAACAATCTGCATTGCTTAGTCTTAGTCAAGGTTTCAACTTCATTGCAATCGGGTCACCCCATACATGCTCCGTTCCTGTGCCAGAAACAAATCATATGAAATATCCCTGACTGCCCCATTTGAAAACCTGGTAAACAAACAATTAGTGTTGGTACAATCCAGAATCTACACTGCAAATGATAGTCAATATTCTTGACAAGAGACAATATGGATATCTACTCTGTGAAGAAATAGTCTAAGCCCTTCAAGTTCACTGCTGCAGACATCACTCACCTCCATTCATCTCTATGATTATTCAGAAATCACCCACCTCCATTACCTCTATGATCGTGCAGATATCACCCACCTCCATTACCTCTATGATCGTGCAGATATCACCCACCTCCATTCATCTCTATGATCGTGCAGATATCACCCACCTCCATTCGTCTCTATGATTGTGCAGATATCACCCACCTCCATTCATCTCTATGATTGTGCAGATATCACCCCCCTCCATTCATTTCTATGATTGTGCAGATATCACTCCCCTCCATTCATCTCTATGATCGTGCAGATATCACCCACCTCCATTCATCTCTATGATCGTGCAGATATCACTCCCCTCCATTCATCTCTATGATCGTGCAGATACCACCCACCTCCATTCATCTCTATGATCGTGCAGATATCACCCACCTCCATTCATCTCTATGATCGTGCAGATATCACCCACCTCCATTCGTCTCTATGATTGTGCAGATATCACCCACCTCCATTCATCTCTATGATTGTGCAGATATCACCCCCCTCCATTCATTTCTATGATTGTGCAGATATCACTCCCCTCCATTCATCTCTATGATCGTGCAGATATCACCCACCTCCATTCATCTCTATGATCATGCAGATATCACTCCCCTCCATTCATCTCTATGATCGTGCAGATACCACCCACCTCCATTCATCTCTATGATCGTGCAGATATCACCCACCTCCATTCATCTCTATGATCGTGCAGATATCACCCACCTCCATTCGTCTCTATGATTATGCAGATATCACCCACCTCCATTCATCTCTACGACTGGCCGGTTCTGTCCCGATGGTGACTCCAAGTGTTTGCAAGTTCACCTTATATTATCTCTCTACAATCTCCTTGGTCTGCCTCACTCTCTACTCCCAGTTAAATCTTTTGTGCATACAGTTTGTGTGTCCGTTTATGTGCCATTCTCTCTACATGCCCCAACCAGTGCAGTACACTAGCCCTCATGAAGCCAGTGACTTAAAAATGAGAAATCTCAAGAATTCAATTATTTATTAACAGCTAAAAGTGATTAACTCTTTGGATACCAAGTAACACAGCATGCATTGATTGATAACTAATTTAACTGTCTTGTGTACTGAAAGAGTTAACGACAGAAGAGCAAGTCCAGAATAACGGGGGAAAACAAAAGTCAAACCTTTGATTCCACCCCTCTGATAAGCCTTACATTTCTCAAATGCTGCTGAGAAATCGGAGGTTCCATTGAGAAGTTCACAGCGAGGGGAAATAATGTGACCAGGTGACAACACATCCCTGTCGGCTGTTTTGGACAACACACTGCTTGGCTCCAACCAGGCCAGTGTAAACTTGAGAGTCGGGTAATCGGTGAACAGCTCTAAGGGTCTGATATTCTGAAATGAAGACAACGGTAATGATAAAGCAGTGGCTCTCAACCTTCTTAATGACATGACCCCTTTAATACCGTCCTTCATGATGTGGCAACCACACAACTATTTTTGTTGCCACTTCTAACTTCAATGAATATGTGTTTTGCAATGGGTTCTTTGACCCCCCAAAAAGGGTCGCGGCTCACAGGTTGGGAACTGCTGTGATAAAGGATACTTTCAGTAATCAGAATTTGTTCTGCATTTTCCCTTAATAGGATGGGTTAGCATGCTGTGTTGTGGTTTACAGGCAGGCTATGATATCTGCTTCTTTTAGCCCAGTCCATTCGATTTCTATCTTCCTATCTTGAACGCACATGGTGGAATATTTGACTAGAAAATCAAATTGAGTCTTTGGAAATGTGGGTATACAGAAGAATGGGTCACATTTCATGGAAACAAAACCTGGAAACAAAACCAATCTAATGCAGAAGTTCTGAAAGGCCTACAACTGAATTAAAAAAAAAAAATTTTAAATTTAAAAACGAGATACTTTGGCAACTTTAAAAGTCATAACATGCTTTTGAAAACCATACTGGAGGAAAAGGTCGATGGCAAGAGAGCAAGAGGCAGACAAAGATACAAGTGGGAGGACAATTTCAAGAGACCGACAGGCAGCAACCTGATAGAATGCACAAATAGGAAAAGAGACAGAGCGTGTTGGAGATCCCTTGCAGCCAACCTTCACTGTGGAGACGGCACCTGATTGATTGATTCCAAAAAGCAACAATTTCCCAGTGGGTTTTGGGACCCCGTTGTGGAGAGGGGAAAAGACCCCCTGCTACCCTAACAATCATGTGGTAAGAGTTGACTAATTAGAGACTTACTTTGAAGTTGGAGTGCATCTGCCTGAGAGGCAAGGAACCAAGTGTCTGCATACAAATAAGCTGCATCTGATGTGCACCAAAAACTTAATTTCTGGATCAAGACTTAAGTCCAGAAGTGGATGAACAACTAGAGCTTTCCAGCCAGTGAATGCAAAGGAGGATGAGAAAAGGCCCTTAATTAGGCTCCTTTCAGTCCAGCACGTTTCATTTCAACAAATCTTTAAATCAGTTGCCTTTTACAACATGTCTGATAAGGAACACGGGTCTACTTTCCCCACCTTAAACCTACATAGGGAATATACAATTGCAAAACTTTATTAGTCTCATTTTACAAAATGATTGTTAAGAGGTCGTGGATTTAGCAGATCAAAAGCCTGCTGAAAAAAGTCACAAGCTCAAAAGAAACGCCTGTCAAAAATGGACGTACAAGACCACCGGCATGATTAAACAATGTATTATATACCCCTCTATGATGATGTCATGGCCTTGCTACGGGTAATGAGGCAATGTGGTTGTCAGTGTTATTACTTACCAAGACATTGGGTCAGGGACCCAACCAAACCACATCATTATCATTTGTTGTGCCCTTCTATGTCACACAAGGCTCACAATGTATCCTTCAATTCTATTCTATCAACAGTACAGTCGGGATCATCTTCCCAAAACCAGTATGGTAGAAAGCTCATAACTCTCTCGTACCAGAGGAAGGTTAGTTTTAAATCAATGTGTTATGTGTTTAAGAACAGAAAGAGTAAAAAGAGATACTATATTATTTTCACTAAAGTAAAAGCATACCTGTACCCTCACTTTATAAAGTAATGACACAGTATATGTAGATGCCCTTTTCACCGGCTACAAATTACCGGCACCCATTTAACATGCAAGACACATATTTCACAGTTTGTTAAGTAATTACACAGTATTTGTGAAGGCCCTTCTCAATGGTTACAAAGTATTTGCATTCATCTAACAGGCCAGACACATGTCTCACACAAACATTATGAAGTATTTACAAAGTATCTACACCCATCTAACCTGCAAGACACGTTTCACACAGAACCACAACAGGTCATATATATGTCTCACACAAACATTATGAAGTAATTACACAGTATTTCTCACAGGCCCATCTCACTGGCTACAAAGTATCTACACCCATCTAACTTGCAAGACACGTTTCACACAGAACCACAACAGGCCATATACATGTCTCACACAAACATTATGAAGTAATTACACAGTATTTCTCACAGGCCCATCTCACTGGCTACAAAGTATCTACACCCATCTAACCTGCAAGACACGTTTCACACAAAACCACAACAGACCCCACAGCATACCTTGCCATTGAAAGACTCCCAAACTTTGGTCAGCTTGAGTTTCTCCGTGCCATCGGACGTCTGCACCCCGAGCTCGTATTCTCCTGGTAGTAACAGGCAGTTCTTTGATTTATCATACACCACAAGCTCCCTGTTGAATGTCAACACTTCCTCCTCCAATGATGATATGCGTCCATTTCTTCGCCTTTTTATTGGAGGGTCATCTGCAAAGAGACAACACAGGATCATGACACTGAGAATCTGTGGTATATGTTTCACTAAGGCAGCATCCTAGATGGGAGCATGGTAACAATGGTTAGATGCTTGCCTGCCAGTCTGAAGATCTTGGGTCACATCGCCACATCTTGTCCGGGTTTTTTTAAATCAACCTCTGCTCTAAAACTAGCTGAGCCTAAATTCATTACTATCACGTGCCTTGGCGGTATGCAGAGGATGTCATGGTTTGCCATTTCACACGATCACTAGAATCACGGATCAGGTTGAAATCATGACTGTTCTTGGCATCTTAAAGTAGTTTGGCACTGCTTTCCTTCTTGGCAGTGACCATAGCCATTTTCACTACAGTGTGATCCTCTGCCTGCTGTCGGGGAACTTGAGACCAACACCAGCAGTCTCTCAACACCAACCTGCTCTCAAGGTTTCATGTTACCCTGACAGGAGGGCTAAACTATTACTCTACCTTGAAAAAAAGTGTCCCACAGGTTAGCAGACAGAAGGAAGTGCCTTACTTCTTTGATAGAAGATGACCCTACTCGGCGACCCAAGCCTAAACTGGGTACCAAGAAGGGTAAAAGTGAGAGGATCGACTTCACTGAATTGGGTTTTATCCCAAATGGCTCAGTCTCTCTCTGCAGAACAGCTAGCTGCCTGCCAACAGCTTCACACAGAGCGCGGCCTCAGTAACTCCGGTGATGATCCCAACAGATCTCCATAAAAGTTGCACTTGTAAACTAAGCGGCGCCACAGTAAAACGAACCCATAACCTTTATAGCGCGGGGCAAACAGCTTGGTGACTGAGACCTTCGTAGGAGTATCAAGAAATATTCTGGAAAGTAAAGACAGCAACTGAATTGCCCACACTGAATGCATATTTGTTTATTAAAGATACGTGTATTTGCACAATATGCACCACATGTACCAATGTGTGTGTGTGTCAAAAGTGGGTGTGCTGCTCTTTTGCTGTCACTGTGACCTGATTAGGCTGGAAAGTTGGGAGAGAAAGGGAAGGTCAGTGAGAAATACAATCCCATCCCCTAAGTGTATCACCACGGAATGCTTAACAATTGGCCATGAACCCCGTGGAAATTCATAAGGGGAAAAAAAAAGTAAAAAAAGAGGGGGGAAAACTCTTACACAGGTCAAACCTATACAACCGAAATTAAATGATGAGGCTGATTAGTGACATCCAGATAAGGACATCAGCTAATAAAAAAAAATTTAAACAAAGAAGAAACTACAGAATGTATCACAGCCAACATACTCTGGGAAGACAATATCGAATTATTACACAATAAAAAAGGCCCCTGACCTCACACAAACGAGACAATCATTCAGTTACTGTTCAAATCACCACTGATTACTGGTATCACTAGGTCCAGAAGACTGCAACGGTTTGGACAAACAGTGAGAATGACAGAGAGACAAAAACTACCTAAAATAGTTGAATGGGACTAGATCACGAGGTCGACCATAGAAATAATATTCGGGAAGATCAATAAACATTTGAAGTCACCAACTGAAAAGAATTAAGTAAGAAAAACAAGAATGGAGGCAGGTGATATATGTAGCAATAAGAATAACAAGATGATTGTGAAGAAGCCAATGATGAAAACAATGACAAAGAAGACTTTGATGAAAAGGAAGAAGATAACAGTGAGAAGAAAAATGGTGATCTTTTGATGAAGAAGAAGATGATGAAGAGAACGAAGATGATGAATATGTTGAGGAAGAAAAAGATGATGAAGAGGAAGGAGACAATGATAAAGAGAAAGATAGCGATGAAAAGGAAGTAGACAACGATGAAAAGAAAGATGGCGATGAAGATTTTGATGAAGGGAAAGATGATAAAAAGAAAGAAGAAGATACTGAGGAAGAAGACTATGAAGAAGAAGAAGACAATGAAGAGGAAAAAGATGACCATGAAGAAGATAATGAAGAAGACAATAATAATAATAATAAAAAAAAGAAAAAGACACAGTGACTGAACCAAAACTTACTTGGTGAGTGTCCATCACCATTAGCAGCCACACTAGCTTCCCTCAGTGTGGTGCACTGGACCTTGAACAGCAGCACGTGAGATCGGACCACATGGCCGTTCTTGTAAGCAAAAGTCTCGCTAGGGATGTGAACCACCTGACCAGGGTAGCTGGCAAAGGGCTTGGGATTCACTGGCACCTTCAGTCTGGCTAAACATACAGGCACAATTGGTGTTGGTAACTCCTGGAATCACAAGTGCAAAGTGTGAGCGACAACCAATCAAAATAGTTATCAAGACTGAAATGACGTGACACCAGTAAAAAAAAAATATATCAAGAAAACTACAATTGTAACAAAAATAGCATGATCCTGACAAAAGCTAAAACAAAAAAAAACTGTCAATGTAACAAATGCAGAGAAGCGACCAGCCAAACGGTTCAGAGCGCTAGGCACTCAAGCTGGAGACCCAGGTTCGAATCCTCTGTGAAGGGGATTTTACTGTCAGAAGCAGAAAAAAAAATCATAACCTACACAGCACATGGCGACAGCATAGCCATGTGGCCCTAAATTCTATAATACCGGCAGTAATGGCAGTTTCTTTTGACAGTAACAAATACAGATTTTTGAAATAATGAATAAATAGGGAAAACATTTTCTTTTTAAATCAGAATAAATCAATTTTGTTTATCTGCAATGTGCACACACACAAAAGTATCAAATATGTCTCCCTACGTCTTCCACCATAAATTACTAGTTCAAACTATAAATACTTTATAACATCAACTGGCCTACACATTATGATTATATTCTCTATCATCCTTTTCAGGATGAAATTTTTTATTTGAAGCTCCACCCTGGCTTTTGCCGGGTGCCGCAATATAGGCAGGCCATAAATATGGCCAAATGTCTGAACGCGTTTTTTGGGACCTCTCCCATGGTGGCACTTTGTGTCATCGGGTGTTTATCGCTTGTGTGATGTCATGGTGGAGTAGAAAGTCAACTGGCCTACACACAAAAACAGAAAAAAAGAAGTACTTAACTTATTAAGGCCCCAAACTTTGTACAGATAAACAAACCACAAACAAAAAGGCCTGTCTCATATGCTGATCTAGAATAAGGTGTCATGGAGTCTTTAATACCTTTCTTTTCTTCTGGCAAATTCTCACCAGCAAAACTTCAATATCAGCAAACTCAGCTTCTGTAGCAACTGCAGAAACAAAGAACAAATGTTTGGGAAAACCATTCTAACTGTTGTAACCTCAACAGTTTATCTGAGTTTACAACATAGCCAATAACCAACCACAACTTTCAAAATCATTGTCCCCATAACCCTGTTAAATTATTCTTACTTCATTACAAGGTAGTAGATGAACTCTTTCAGAACTAAACAATTCAAAGATTTCCTAGTATTTGTAGAGATAATATGATGTTACTGCTGCCTTCTCATTAGTCAAGGTTCCAGCTTTGCCATAGGCAGGGTGCCCTTAAGTGCTCTGAACCAGAGCCAGTGGAAATCACAAGTTGTCCTTAACTGTCCCACTGAAAACTAGTGAAAAACATCTTGGTCTCAGTTAAATCTGGAAACTCACACACACAAGGTTAACTGCTGTCTTCCATCTCAGAGACAAGTTATATTGTTATAATAAGCCATGGTATCAGAATCAAGTCTTCTTTTCTTTATCTTCGGGTTCACCGGCTGTGAACTTTGGCAGTTCTGGTTGTTCATCTACCTTGCTAGTCTCCTTTCAGAATCTGAGTGATGCATGCACATCTGTTTTAGGAATCTGACTTATCTATATGCAGATTGTTGGTTCCTTGTCTCTCAGGCAGATGCACTCCAACTCTGAAGAAAGCTCCCAATTAGTTGACTCTTATGACATGCTTGTTGGGGAGGCAGGGGTCTGTCTATACTTGTTTTCCCCGGCCACTGTTTAACTTTCAGACCTAAGCATTTACTGTTTTAATTAAGTAGATATAAGTAGCCTTTCCTTTTTTTGATCCTGTTTTTGGAGAGGCATCAGGTGTGCATCTTGGTATGTGCTATGAAGATGTTGGTATTTACGGCTTCTGATATTCCACCTATCCATCGTTTGTGTGCTCGACTTCTAGCCGACCTTCCAATATGTCTCAGTGACAGAGCTCTCTGTGGTGTCTTATCAGATGTCCAAGCCATCTGATCTGCTGTTTCTTGATGTAGTTTACCGTTGGGGCATAAAGTAGTTAAAGTAACAATGGTTTGATAGTGAAAGGAGTTCAGAAAAGACATCCTGCGTTAACTGGGCTGTGAGCTTTCTCTGTGGCATCAATCCAAGGTTTGGGACCCTAAAGCTCATTAAAAGAAAACCACTCCATTAAGCAAGTATGTTTATGTATTATGACTTGCCTTCCACCATGACACGGTTTTGTGCTTCATGAAGCATGACAAAATAACGTGAGGAATGAATTTCAGTGCCAGTGATCCTGAAGACATCATCTTCAGTCTCAAAGATACAGGGTTCAAGTCTTCTAAAAGGCATCTCCCTTGGGTAAATCAAGATAAAGTTTGTGTACAATAGTCAAACTAACAATTCTATAATATGATTAATACTCTAGACTAGCAACAACACTGTGATGATGATGATGATGGACCTCTTATCTTTACTTACATTCTGCAATATGAAACCCAGAAAATATCAATTGCAAAGTTTCTTGCTTCAACCTGAGGATACAAACAAGAAGACTATATAAACAGTTGCACAGAGAAAACATCATCTGAACTTTATGAATCTAAACATTCTATTTAGTAAAAGAAACAAACTGGAGGTACCAATGAATCTCAATGGCTCAGAATGCTAAAGATGAAGAAGAGAAAGAAGAAGAAAAGCATTCAATGAAACCATACTCAACCAAAAAATTGCACTTACCTTCCATTTCCTTCATCTTGAGGCATCCTGCTCACCACGGAACCAAGTATCGAGTCCACCTTAAACATTTTTCTGGAATAGGTTGAGAGGACAGGAAAAACTGCATTGATAATAGAATGATATGTATATGGCCTACAACTCAACACTGTAAGTGAAAAATGACTGCAACAAAATTAACAGTACATAAATTCTGCTATCATGACTGATGCACTGAAGAAACTACAGTGATGGCCAACATTTTAAGACCATCTAGTAATGAATAACTGATATTTCCAAGCTGTTATGAAGTACTGCATCAACTGCTATTTTAGAGCAGGATAATGACCGCAATGATTGCCTTTAGTGCCCCCCCCCCCCCCAAATAGCAGTGGATGCAATACTCGGCAACAGTATGGGGAAAAAATACTCAGCAACAGTATGGGGAAAAAATAAATCATTTACCAAAGGGTCAACTTCTGGTCACCGCTGTAACATACACACAATTACTAACTTCAAATGCTGTATCTACATTGTCAGACCATTAAGTTGTTAGAGAGGTCCACTACACCTATGATCCATCTTGTCTAAGGTTTGTCTATGTTGATTCATGCTTTTATACCCAGCTACAGACAGGACTTACATCAGTAGTAAATGTGAAATTTACAACTATGGAACCTAAGCACATCTCACCCTCGTTTTAATTCTTCCCGGTCAAGGAATTTGTCTTGTGCTCAGAGTGTTGTAGGTTCAGTTTGGACTGTGTCATTCAGTTCATGTATGGTTTTTTTTTAAAGATCTCTGAGGATTGCTAGAGTTTTTGCTGTGACACACTCAGCAGACAAGGAGCCATTCTATGGTGGTAAGGCCATATGGGATAAAACTCTGTGCAATGAAATCAATTTTCATACCATAATGCTTAAAATGAACACGTAAAGATTAGCCTCTGTTCCAGGAACCACAGTAGCTGTCTGCAGCATCTTGAGCCTATCTGCAGTAGCCTGCAGCATGGGGATACTGGGGTATAATATCTCTCGTACATCCCAGAACCACCTGCACAGCTTCCATCTCTATGCATTCTAGATTCGCCAGCTGACTCTTTGAGACAGTGATCAGTCCCAGTCCATAATCTATCAGTGAGATTATCATGTGCAGCCATGAGGTGACAGCATTCTTAGCACCACAATCACTGCTATCATAATCTTCAGTTCGCTGGGTCCCTTTCAACATTTTATGTAGGGCTGACTTTCTGATGCCACAGTTAAATAACTGAGTGCAATTTCAGCATATTTATGTACATATGATGATGATGATTAATATGGCATGTGCAGCTCATACTCACGCTGTAGGAATAACTGAAATGCTAGAAACAAGTCTGCTGATAACAGAACTCTAGAATCAAGCACAGTAATGACAAACCTTCTACAGAGAAAGGCAATACTTTTAGCCTTCAGCAAATGTATCTGTGTCCAGTGTGACTACTTTTACCAGGTACTATTCATATTCATAGGCTTTAATGGAGCAACAACTAGTACAGGAAGATTGTTCACACTTCATTCCTTAATATGTTACAACAATGCATTACTGGTAAAATTATAATTGCCTCATTTAACCTCAGCTTCTTCTCTGTCAGCGCAAATCAAAAGATGGACATCAGGGATATTTCTTCCTCATTTGATATAGACAAATATATATGGGTACCAGCCCACAGTTTCTCAGCTAATATAGAAGAATATATAAGGGTACCAGCCCATTGATTGTCATCTAATATAGAAGAATATATATGGATATGGGTACCAGCCCATTGATTGTCATCTAATATAGAAGAATATATATGGATATGGGTACCAGCCCATTGATTGTCATCTAATATAGAAGAATATATATGGGTATGGGTACCAGCCCATTGTTTGTCATCTAATACAGAAGAATATACATGGGTACCAGCCCACTGTTTGTCAGCTAATATAGAAGGATATACATGGGCACCAGTCTAATTCTTTCTCAGCTGATACAGAAGATAGTACATGGGTACCAGCCCATTCTTTCTCAGCTAACACAGAAAAATATACATGAGTACCAGTCCAATTCTTTCTCAGCTAATACAGAAGAATTAAAGTGGGGAGTACGACAAAGATATGTACTACCACCTTATTTGTTTTCATTCTACAGCGAATATATAATGAGATCAAGGATATGCCAGGAATTGTGGTTGCTGGTCATAACATAACATAACCTAAGTTATGATAAGGACACCATCTTGATAGTGACAAGTCAAAAAGACCATATCACCCACTAAGTGCCGATCGGGCTATGAGAATATGAGTCTAGCTTCTTCTGCCTTTCTAACCCACAATGGAGCATAGGCCCTCAATCAACTCAGGCCATGTTGATGCATCCTTTGCTATCGCATGCAGCTCTCCCCGTGTAATCTCCATCTTTTTAACTTCACTCTCTAACTCCCATCTCCATGTGCTTTTTTGGGTCCTCCTTTATTTCTATGGGTTCCAGCGCAAAGATTTTCTAGTTATATTGTTCTCACTTTTCTCAGTGTGTGTCCTATCCAACGCCAGCGTCTTTTCTTCACCTCTTGGTCCACTGGAACTTGTTTAGTTCTCTCCCAAAGTCACACTGCTAGCATCAAAAACTAACTAGTAAGACTAACAGCTTCATAAACATAACCGCACACCAAGGGACAAGCCACAGCTTGACGCCTCAAATGATCATATGCGACAACAAAAATCTCACCTTTTTGCATTTGATACTGATCTACGCTGTTTCATGTATGACAAGGATCTTGGCAAGAAGATTGGCTGTTTTTTTTAAAAGAAAAACCAGAATGCAAATAATGTTATTCATAATTCAAATTAAATGTAAATGAATGTTAACAAAGTAACTTAATTAGCTTAAATGCAACATATTTTGTAAACAAGATTGTATTTATGACACAACTGAACCATTATATAATTCAATGTGCCCAATAATACAGCAAAAAACATATGTACTGCAGGCCCACAAAATGTGAGCCTAGCTGTAAACTAAAATAAAATGTGCCAACCAGCCTCTTGTGGCTAAACTCCTGAAGACGAATTACGTAATAAATAATGTATGACACCACATACATTCTAACGTTACTAGCATTTCAATATAACATAAAAACTGTCAATATTTATTTATGTAATGTAAACAGAAAGAGCACATGAGCAATTTGAAGTTACCAAGGTAATCACGTGATTGATTTTGATTTTCTGGCAGATAGATGTACATAAGAATGTTGTTTATGCATGTCATCAAGAAAAGGAATCATTTTGTGGTTCATTATATGTTGATTTAACTCTATAGCATTGCACTTGACGAGATACAGCGAAATATGCCAAGCAATAAACTGTGCACTGTACTGTGCTTCGCAATACCAGGGTGCTAGGTTCGATACCAGCTGCGGGCCCTGCGCTGGTTTCAACAGTGGTATAGAGAAGCCGACCGTCCAGAAAGCAATAGCAAACTACTGGATGTAAATTTGCCCAGAAACAAACCACAACAGCATAAAAGTGCTGGGGTTGGTTCTGCAACTATTGAACTGTAAGTGATGATTGCAGTCAGTTACCTAAAGCACGACTTTCTGTCTAATCCGGGTCTCCTATATAACAGCTTGACCAGCGGCTTCTCAATAAGTGTACAATAAACCAAAATCATTTAGATTTAAAAACTTTCTTTTTTTAAAATAATCTTAAAAATAGATTCAGATTCATCATCACCATGTGCCCTGCCAACAGGCGTAGGCGCTGGTGCGTCTCCACAGATCACGATCCCTGGTTACCTGGAACAGCTCTCTTGATGATTCAGATAATTAAACTAAAATATAAAGTGCTGTCACTTACCAGAACAATACTTCTAGTCCTCAGGTAGCGATAAATCTGTGTTGGCTCTAAAACAATAACAACAATGTAATCTGAGATGATTCAAGAAGACGGTATACATTGGTCATGATATATTTACTTTTATCTGAGCTAAAATACTATAGAGAAACACAACTGACACCTCATTCCATAATTTGTTAATGCACAGCACTGTTGGGAAGGTGCCTATTTAATCTTAGCAGCTAATGAATATGAATGAATGCCTCTTCTCTATTAGCACATATTAAAACGAGGTCAAGAGTGATGCCTCTTCAGCTGATTGAAAAGAGAATGCATAGGTACTGGTTCACCGTTTCCCAGATGGTATAGAATAGAATGCACAGGTACTGGCCAACCGTTTTCCAGATGGTATAGAAGACAATGCATAGGTACTGGTTCACCGTTCCCTAAATGGTATAGAAGAGATATTTAGTTAGTTAGTTAGTTGGGTTATCATCACTGCACTCCGGACATGTCCATAGGTGCTCAGATCCTCCCCTCAGTATGAACCCCAATGTCCAATGGCTAATAGTACCAGTTCTATGTTGATTAACAAGTCTTCTGGCGTGTCTGGTGTGCGTCTCGTTTTTTGCCACGCCGATCTTAATTCCCAAGTCTGCCATTCTGGCAAGTGATGTGGATTCACTGCCACCAAAGTCCTCTATCCTTCCCATTTCTCTGAGGGCATTAATAATATCAGCATGATCCATAAGCCGACTGTCGGTAGTGATAGCGGATCCAGCCAACCTGTCAGCTCTTTTATTTCCATCAACGCCTGCGTGTCCCGGGGAAAAAAATAAAGGTGACTCCACGCACAGTGGACTTCTGTAATGATTTGAGCTATTGTCTTCGCACCGAACCTGCCTGAACCCCCTGATCATTCTCATTGAATCACCAAGTATACATACTCGGGTGTATTTTTGTGTTTGAATAGGTAAATAGTCGCCATCGGACTTCGAATACACACTGAGGGAAGTCTGAACTCACGTACATGTACTCCATTGCACGGTTCAGATCTCATTCCTAAAGAAAATACACAGGTACTGGTTCACCGTTCCCCAGACGGTATAGAAGAGAATGCAAAAGTACTGGTTCACCGTTTCCCAGATGGTATAGAAGAGAATGCACAGGTACTTGTTCACCGTTCCCCAGACAGTATAGAAGAGAATGCACAATTACTGGTTCACCGTTCCCCAGATGGTATAGAAGAGAATGCACAGGTACTGGCTTACTTTTACCCAAATGGTATAAAAGAGATTGCACAGGTACTGGCTACCGTTCCCCAAGTGGTATAGAATAGAATGCACAGGTACTAGTCCATCATTCCCTGGATGGTATAGAAGAGTATGCATAGGTACTGGCCTATCATTCCCCAGATTGTATAGAAGAGAATGCACAGATGCTGGCCATTCATTCCCCAGACGGTATAGAAGAAAATGCAGAGGTAATGGCTCACCGTTCGCAGATGGTATAGAAGAGAATGTACAGGTTCTGGTCCACTGTTCCCCAGATGGTATAGAAAAGTGCCTAGGCACAAAAGTATTGGAAAATAGATCTGATACACTCTAGAGGCTTTACTGGATTCAAATAAATCTAAGCACTGATACAAAGACAGCTGGGAGCCCAAGAAGAAGGTGACTATTAAAACTCAAAATAATGCACTTTCACGCAGAATGATAACAGTGCCACCAATCATTCGCTGGTCTAAAAATACCATGACACATGAGTGCAGAAGTAGATGATAATGAATAAATCTGTATCCTCTAACCCCCCCCCCCTTTCCCCAGAATAATTTGTCTATGCAAGATTTAAACAACATTCTTCAGGAGTATAATACTGGGCATTAAAACAAAAGCCCAAGAGCTCTTATTATATGAATCCACTCATAATCCATACATCACATATGTCACTATTACATATAATCTGTATCCTAGTCTACTTTACAGCAGACAACTGGAAATAGAGGACCAATTCGATGAACAGAGGTAGTGATCTCAGCAGTGCACCCCAAAGGCTTGGAATGCTGATGAAGAAAAGATGGTCTGGCTATCTGATAAGAATGCTTCAGTAATAACTGCCACAGAGAGCCCCTCTAAAGAAATACAATGAATGTGGAAGAGGAAGACTAAGCAGAGAACATGCAAAATGGCATTAGTGCCATTAGGAACAGCCTTTAAATAAGTAAGATGAACTTATACATTACAACACATAAAGAAAGAGAATATAAGATTCTATACACCCCACCCCCTTTTTTTTTCCTTTAAACAAAATTTGATGAAGTAACTTAAGGAAGATAAAAAGAAGACTTAAAAAACTTGCTTGTCTGCACTTTCCTACATTTAACTTCTTTATTTAATGTGGTTCCAGTTTGTGTGAGTTAACATGAACTTTCCATCAAGAGCACTTCCAATTAGAACTGAGAAACTAAAGTTAGAAGAAAGCTTACAAAGTATTGCGGTATTCATACATCACACTACTGATAGATAATCTTTCAGTTGCAGTTACTGCCACACTTTCACTAGTTTGTAGCTTGTCGAAATTCTGATTTGGGGGTGGTACAGTACTGATACACTCACGTATCCGTGAGCACGTATGCGTATGATCAGTTGTTTTAAACAGTCTCTGTAACTGTAACAACAGTCTCTGTTCACAGAGTTCAAGTTAGTAGTTCAAATAGTGCAAACTGGCTTCCTTAATTTCCCAATCCGCTAATATATTATTTTATACACTGTGCTCTAAAACACATTCCCCTACACACAACATCAATCGCTGGCCTTCCGTCCTCCGACACACTAAATGCAGCCACCCCAGCAAGGAAAGCGACCGTTTGTTTTGCTCCCCTACCCCTATCGATAACAGGTTACACGACTCCATGAGTCCAATAAATGGGTCACATTTAAAACAAATCAAGAGAACAATCGCCACACAACAGTTAAATCACATTAATACTCACTTTCAAACGCCCGTAGGAACTGTTCGTGGTCAGCTTCGAGGTTTTTCTCCTTTTTCGTTTCGGTGCTGACCGAGTTTGAATCTACCAATTTTCTTTTAGGACCCATCTTTCGTTTTCTGGCCCAATGAATCCGCGGGAACAACGGAAATTTGCAAACATATCCCGTACCCAGATTTTTCGTGCCAATTTTCCTCACCCGCTTGGGCTACTCGTTTTTTTTTTTTTTTTACTATCAATAAAAGAAATATGTCATTTGAAATTCACAGAACAGTAAAATATTTTATTTCTCAAGCATGGTATATTCATATTTCAATTTTTAAATGATATAGTTGTTATAAGTTAATTAAGTACGATGAATTATATGTGCCAAGTAGACGTTGTAATGTTTCAGAAGACGCCCCCTAATGAATTAATGACCTACTGCAATAAAAAGCGTATAAACTTGCTAAAGATACATAATTCTGGAGAAATGCAGTAAATTTGTTAATCAGTAATAATATGTAATATGTTAGTTTTCAAGTGTTACCACTTTAATTAGCTAATTAATTACAGTGTTATGGGGTGTGTGCAAAATAAACGTTGCAATTGTATCTTATAAAGGACTCTCCTAAATGAACATATGACTTCCTGCAATAAGCATCTGACAATAGAAAATGCGCTAAATAAGGCATCTTTGAGGAAAGATCAAGCATAACACAACAAGAAAGTATACTTTTTAAGTAAAATATTGTAAAGAAAAAAATAATTACCCAGATTACTTTAAATATTCCAAAAGATATATGCTTAGCGTAATTATTTGACAAGTGCGCTTATATTATAAAAACACTTAAAATATATGCAGTATTCAAAAGCCAAAATTATGAACTGCACAAACACACACAAAAAAACACCGTAGCACTGTGTATTATTACTTCAGTTTTCAAGTATTCTTCTTGTTTGCGTTCACCGACTGTAAACTCTGGCGGATAACTCTAGTTGTTTGTCCACTCCTGGACTTTATCCTGTTCCAGAACTTGAGTGTTGCGTGCACATACGTTTAACAGATCTGACTTAATTGTATGCAGACTGTTGGTTCCTTGCCTGTCAGGCATAGGCACTCAGACTTCTAAGGAAGCTCACAGGTGGTCAACTCTTGAGACATGCTTGTTCGGAAGGCAGTGGGTCTATTCTTGTTTTCCCACACAATCGTGCACCTAAAATCACAGAGGGAATTTTTCAAAAAATGTCGTCTTAGTTAAATAAATATTTGTTATTGTATGCGCCAAACAGACTTTACAATCTCATAATCTAAAATTAAAACTTACAACATATTGTACATAACGCGTTTGTCTATTCTGAACAACATTAAATATCCATAAGTTTTAGACATACATAAATACCCAGTATCTAAAAAGAAAAGAAAAACTATACGTGTGTGTGTATCCTAGAGGGGCTGAACAGGATATCTTCATCTAAATTACTGCTACTATACGTTAGGGTGCACCTGATATTAGCATTATAGTTAAATCGTCTGTCGCTGTTGCTAAAACAACAATATTAACACCCCAAGAGTGTAAGTATTAGCCTAATTCCCACAAACAGCAGAAATTAAACATGAAAAATGCTTACATAAAAGCTAAAGTAATAGTTAAACAAATGGCAAGCAAAGCAAAAAGAACCCCACGCATACTAGCAGTAGCAAAAAGACAGGTGAGGCAATACTATTCAGCTGCCTAAATCGATTTATCCTCATACTGCCGGGAAGGCAAGCCTAATTTTACCAACATGGCTTTCTTTGTCTGTTTGCTCAAAACCGTCTATATTTAGGAATATTCGCGTGGTCCAGTGAACCAGTGATTTCATTTGACGCATTTTCCTGCCACATTGTCCTTACTTTCCATATTTCAAGCGACAGATTTCTGAGGACATATTTCTTACAATATCAAAATACATTTTTAAAAATATCTTGGCCACGTAACATGCCATAGTTTTCAAATGCAAACGACGTCAGTAAACTGTGAACTGACAACCAATAAAAGCCAACGTTATCATCACAATTACACAAACTAGAAGACGTTGCGGTGACAAGCCTTCATC